GTGACGTTAGCTCGGTAATTTAATAGATAAATATTATTTATCAATCAAATTGTCTTTGATAGGGTTCATTCGACGCGGAATCGTTTGGTGGTCACGAATATCATCGTTAAAACGTTTGGTGGTCAATCGTTTTCCTAAACAATAGAACAAACCGTACTCTTACGCCATTGGACGTATGACTCCGTGACATTAGTTGGAGAAATATTATTTACAAAGGACGCGATTTGAATCCTCCAGTAAGTTATTGCTCCGGCCGTCACGTATATCTTATCATTATCAACTCGTCTGCAATTACTGTAATTACGTCTGCCATAATGGAGTACCTACAAATGTGTACTCCTTTTGAGAAGCAATACCTTTTAGAGGAAGATATATTGTATAAATCAAGTAATCCGATATTGATAAACTTTTGTTTCGACGTGTTTCTTTCTCACGTTTTATGTACGAATATGATTATTCGTATAGTTATATACACTTTGACTTTTATTGGCAAAAGACAATTTGTTCTACTCCGCTAGTGCTCCTATTCAAAGTATTCTGTTAACATGTTTTGTCGTAATCGCGATTTTAATATCGTTGACTCAAGAATGTAAAAATTTATTGATAATAATGATAATTAACAATGCACCGATACAGACATGACGATTTGTTCTCTCAGAAGTACATTGGATATGGTAAAACCTGCTGATCGTTAGAATGGGATTACATGCCAGTATGACAATGGATAAAATGAGAATATACGATCTTGTACAACAGGTAATGGTTAAAAAATTATTATCTAATTTACAATGGATATCAACAATGGACATTCATCCAGGTAAGCTATTACGTTTTGTTATGAAATTATATATATATATATTCATATCATAAACGCTATGAATTATTTTTTAGGGAATGATAATTTTTTAGTACATTGATCGCAAAATACTTTGGTTTGATTTAGATTTCAGTAAAGAACCTTATCAAACATTGTGATTAAATGGGACTGGCGTATGTGTTATAGCATTTCACAACCCTTATTTTCTATTTGATTCTAGAGCTAATGATAGGGCGCTAATTGTGTCTTATGGAATGGTGTACAAGTAAGATATCTCCCCATACTTGTCGATATTTGATTTTAATACATATAATGCATGACGCTTGTATTTTCTTTTCCAGTGATCTGCTACAAAATCCGTTAATTGTGCCACTGAAAAGATTGTGTAATCATGAGTCATATAATGATTTTGGCATTTTGGACGTCACGTTTCATCCTATTGAACTGTGGGTATTTTCCGCTGACGCAGACTTTATTGTATGAATGTAGTAATGTATACATAAATAAGTACATACAAATGTTTAGAACATCTACAGGTATTGCCGTTGTAAGAAAAAAATTATTCTATTACATTTTGCCCCAATTTGATGTAATATAGGTACATAAAATACATGTTATCTATTTTTTTACTTCGTATATATTTCTTTTAATATAAATGATATAAATTCGCACATAATAACAAAATATAGAAACTCGTACACTTGCATTGAAGTTATATTTACTTGGCGCGAGACACTACCGTGTCTTTTGATATATGTTATGCTTCATTAAGTTACTTTCATTTGATAATAAATGCCCTAATCAGCTGAATACCTGTTACAAAAAGATGTTTAATTTTACAAGAGTAAAACACAGGTCTACTTAGAAACATAAACGTAAATAAACAACAATTGCGCTATTTTATATACTAAATTGCGATACAGTGATGGAATTTTACTTTTCTCTCCTTTCTCTTTCCTAATATATTTATACTCTCTTTTTTTCAAGTCCATTAATATAGCATATTACGAGGTACTGTACGAGGTTGCGCGATCCAGTCTGATACTCTTATCTTGGAAAAGTTACTCTCCGTCGCTGGATTCATCGATAATACAGCTGTTGCAGCATGAATATCTGGCAAGGTGCGCGATGGCGTCAAAGTTTGGGACTCGAGTCCCTCCTCTCCATCGGGCGCTTCGCGTATTCCCACTCATTCTTACAGGAGAATTATCGATTCTGGCGTGTAACACATGACGATTGACTAAATCTATATCGGTACCGCACACCGTGCTTGGTCCATTCGCTCCGTCTAATAGTCTAGAATTACGTAACGTCTGATTTTCAGTATAATGAGCTCAGGCTCAGGCTTAGGCTCTATATGACGCAATTAATTAACAATATTTTTTGCGTTATCCAAAGGAGAGAGGATAAGTTGTCAATTGTCAGCTGTACAGTCTGTCTAGCTTGAGAATACATACAATTCGCTCGATGAAGAGATAGCGACTACAAACAGAACTTATATGGTTTTCTTCTGTACACGCAAACCAGGACTCTAGAAGTGCCGATTTCGAACCACTACATATGCAGCATCACGTGCTGGTAGTATTCTGAGATTCGAAATTATACTTATTGTTAGTCGTTGCCGTGCGAAAACAATATATATCCATTCAAGCAAGATACAATCATCGACGTCAAAACGTGGTTCGTAGCGCGAGGCTTCCGCAGGGCCTTGACTTTATATTATCGCAAACGGCATATGCCTAATTTGTACATATATTACTATATCGTAATATCGCTTTATGCTATTGAAAATATTAAAAAAGAACTATGCTTATATTCCTGAAATAATTTTTCTTGCGCAATGTCCAAGAGATTAGAAACGACCTGATAACTTTCGCAAAGCTTTGGTAAAACATAGACTGATAATATAATATAATATAATTTATATTTAATATAATATAATATAGCGGAGAGGTGCAACTCCACTTATGTGCGACTCTCGTAACCATATAATTTTACTTCATATAACATTACTCGAGTCGCTCGCATTAATCATCACGGAAAGTCGATGAACCCGTGTTACGACAAACTATAATTATAACTATGTAATTAATCTCATTGTCATTATCACTTTCCGTACGCGTTGAATCTGCATTACCGGAATTACTTATCTCTATATCTATTCTCTATATCTCTTATATCTATTCTGTGTAATCTACTATTTAAATCTTTAATAGAGTCTGTTTGCGACTCAAGTATTAACATTGCGGTATGCTCGTTAAATGAGTCCAAGCTTGATCTCGTGTCGGGTGTTCTATTTCGTATAAAGTATGCTCCTCTATGTACGTCTACGTTAATGTCATTTTGTAACGAAGTATTAGCATGAGCTTCTGTTGATTGGGAAGATTGTTGTCTGGCAATATCGTAACCATTGAGATTCGGATAAACTTGAAATTCTTCTACTTGGAGTCTCAAGGCTATTTCCTCGTTTCTGTTCTTATGCCATTTAATCTCGATGGTGCTATCTTTGCACGAGTGTGCGTTGAGTTGTTTCCATGAAAGTGAAATAAAATCCTATTTAGAAAGAAAAAACAAAACGTTAATTATTTTATCAAAAACATTAAAATTATTACTTTAAAAGAACCAATACCTTACCACATATGAGAAAAGTCCTGCAAGCCCTGTAAGGCGTGATCCGGATTTGTAAATACAGAATTGTAAAGCGTCAGCTTCCCTGGTACTCGCATACGCCAGGTTGTCTTGGAGTTGCTCTTTTATTGGGAAACCAAGTGGAAATGACACCGATGGGTTTTAATTTAAGAGTATCTTGATCTTTACTCGTGCCAGGCTTCGCTTCTTCCGAAGATATTAGTTTAGACTGCCGTAGGATTTCCCCACATTTTTGTAATTCCAACAGGCGTTTGATATTATCAATTTCTTTATCAAGTATATACCTTAGATTTTTTACTTGCTGTCTGTAATATTAAATTAAACCATTATTTACAAAGTTTTCTTTTGAGTAATAAATACAAATGAGGCAAGGAATTGTCAAATTTCAGTTTTACCTCTTTATCAAGTTATCTCGTAACTAGCAAGAGTATTTCATATTAAATGCGAAATGTGCGATTATATGAATACAAATGTACATTAATACACATGTATCATTAATAAAAAAAAAAAAAAAAATATTGACGTTACATGTTACAATAAGGAAAATTTTTATTAGAATACTTCAGATTATTAATCTCTTGTCTAGCTGTATTCAACTAACCGAGCAAATAATCAGCGCTTATGCTAGAATTCTAGCAAGTCAGGTCCATGTTCGTTGTCGCTCGCATTTACAGCCTACTCTCGTCCTTTCCGTGATGACAGGCTTCTTGGCGTATATAAACAGCAAGATGCGGCTCGATGAGTTTATCGGCATTACAATTGTCTATCTTTACTTTCATATCATCGTACACTTGCCAATTACCGCTGGCTCGTCGACAGTACGCGACGAAGTGCCCTGGATTAAATCCCACCACGCCTGTTAGCCTGAAAAAATGTCAATTTATAATAAATAATATAAAAAGTATTTATACCTCAAATGGCGTATTTTTTTAACTAAACTCATTCCTTTACAGCTCAGCAGTATTTTAAATCTGTTTTGAAGTAGCAAGTATACCACATTTGGAAAATAATAAATTTTTGCATATCTTATACGCATTTTTGTATAAGATTCTTTTATGGTAAAAATACACCTAATGGATATAAAAATGAGGGGGCCTATTACGTATCTTTTCACGAGGTAAAAATG